AATAAACTCCCTTGGATGTTCATACTTTGATAAGTAGACAATATTATGCACATAGGAGCGGTCTAAGCAAAATTTCTCCCTTCTGCATCAACACTTGCTTCCCCCTATTCTCCTCTGTTCTAACTACATTCACCTGTCTTCTCTCCTCATTTTCCCCCCTATTATATCTTGGATTCCCTTCTCTGTAAACTTCCCTATTTCTCGTCTCCTGTGGATAATTTCCCTGGTTCTGTCTCCAATTATTGCCTCTGTCATTCCCTTGTCTCCAGTTATTCTCTCTATCATTGTTTGGATTCCCTTGTCTACGTTCCCAGTTATATCGTCCGATATCTCTCCTGACATTGTTCAAATTCTCTCCCCTATTTGTAAAATCCCTGCTTCTATTTTGTCTCTCAAATTCTCTTTCCCTATAATTATTCCCTCGATTCACATATCCCTGTCTATTTGCTGTGTTATTCCTATATGTCACTTGCTCTTGTCCATTTCGATTCTGCGTCCCTACACTCCTCTCAATCCTCTGAAGATATCCTGTCAAACTTTCCATCGTCTTTATATTGTGGAGAGCTATTGTTTCTGCCATGTTATGGTTATATTGCCTGGCAATGTATAGGACAATCTCCTCTTCTCGCATAGCCGGTTCTAAATATTGTGCTGTCTGGAATAACTGCATTGCGTACAGATTGTAGTTGGTACTTTTTTCATAATTGAATTTCCCAAAATACAACCGCTCCCTGAAACTAGCCTGTTGGTTTTCTCCCCAAAAATAGTTAATAAACTTGGCCTCAAATTCCTGCACATTATTTATGGAATTTTCATTATTGCAAAACCATAATAATGGCATGCCCACTAACATGTTTCGAATATTCAATTTCATTTCTATTGGATCCCTTACATTCTTTACCTTATTTTTGATGATATCTACAAATATTCTAGGATGTAAGTGATTCAGGTTTCCATCAAACTTTATTCCCCCATCATTATAACTCGGCACCACAGTACTCACTACTCTTGTTTGTCCTAGATTTGATTCCAAACGCTGAATCTCCTCACTTGCATTTTTAAATTTCTCTCTCAATTCCTCAACTTGTCCCTGTAATACTCTATCTCCCTTTTCCGCCTGATTTGCATGCATACCCATTTCCAGTTCCAAATTCTGCAATCCCTTCTTTATATTATTTTTTATAATGGTAATTTTTTCCTCATAATCCTGAGTTTGCCTTTTAACACTTTCTACCTCCCTAACAATCTCTTTATTCTGCTTATTAACTTCTTTGTTTATTTCCATTGGTAAATTCTCTTTAATGGCTGTTCCCAACTCTACAAATCTGCTCCCAATTTCCTGTCCTATTTCCGCTCTAATTATGGCCTTTTCTCTGGATATCTCCTCCTGTACATTCCTCTTAAAATTCTCACTTTCTCCTCTGACCTGTTCTACTTTCTCTTCTAAACCTTCGGTAATTTGTAGCATCTCTTCCCTGACTATCTTCACTTCTTCTTTGATTTCTTCCCTCATTTTAATTAACTCTTCCCTAAGTTCTCCTTTAATATTATTTTCCATTTTGTTCATATCCCCCTAATATTGTTAATATTACTATCCATTTTGTGCATATCTCCCCTAATATTATGATCCATCTGTTGTAACATCCGCATTATTTGCCTCATATCCATCTGTGTCATCCTGACTCTCCAACATCTCCTTCCCTACGTCTCTCCTCCTGCACTCTACATTCATTCACACTTTCATCACGTCTATCTCTCACTGTCTCATCCAACTCCTCTCTCAAACTATCTGTTAGACTTCCCTCTCTATCACCTTGTCCTGCTTCTTGTCTGCCTTGCTCTAAATATTGTACTACAAATTCTCCTGATCCTCCTCTGCTTTCTTCATCTACCTGTATACCCTGTTCCTGTTCTAACACCTGTTCTCCTTCACTCTTTTTCGGTACGATTTCTTTTCCATTTCTTAAAGTCATTCGGTCTGCCATTTTATCCTAATCTCTATTTATTCTCAAATTTAACTTTAACTACCCCAGAATCTCTACAACTCTAATCACACCAATTTGTTTTTATTTTAATCTGTGTATTATTAATAAATCTGCTTAAAAAAAAACACCCTTATTTCTGTTTTCCCAGAGGCTCCACGTTGTTAGCGCCAATTGTAATAGTTTTGTTTTTATTATTTTTATGTTTTATTGTTAATAAATATAATTTTAATTGAATTGAAGTGAATTTTAAAAGTATGTAGTTCGTTGTTAATATACTATACCTCGGCTAGCTCAATTATTTGTTCTAAGCAATCTGTCACTGTGTGACGTCAACTCTGTAGTCTCCTGGTAGAGTTCAAAAAGAAATTAAACCAAAATTTACTTTATATTTTTGATAAATTAACCCAAATGAAGCACGTTATTTATTAATATTGAACAAATTTAATATAAACAATAAAATTCGTCTGCAACTTGGGTTGCCTTTAAAAATTTACAAAAATAGGAATCGTGTAAACCTTAATGTGTCGTGAAAATAGAATTTGATTACAAAATGTGGAAACTCTCTACAATTACCTTAAATCTAAATGACTATTGCAACTTTATAAAGTGTTTAAATGAAATATAAAGAAAAGAAAACTGAACACTTTATGCCGCTGACTTATAACTAGCATTAAAATATAATCAAAATTTCAAATGATCCCCAAATTATTATCCAAACTCACTTTCAAACAGTTCTGATTTTTTTTTTAAAGAAAACTAACTACTCGCAAAATAATCGGTGATACTGGAATATCTATCCTCTCTTCGGAAGTTAAAGGTACGTACTATTATATTTTTATTTTAATGATCATTAATATTTCAATTTTTAAGGCCTATCGCAATTAGTTAATTCATGAATTTTTACTTTTTCAATCTAAATGACATTTCTGCACTCCAATTATAATTTATAAGTCAAAATTTCTCTTACTCTCTGGAACAAATTCTGGATATCTCTATTTGAAAATGTGGAAAAACTAAATTATAATTAAACGATTTTAAAGCACTCCCGGACTATTCCACCTTTTTAGGGCTCTTCCTCCAAAATTTTCGTCGCCTCCAACAACCTATTCTTCCTTGTTCACCGCCATAGCTAGCACCCACCACCAAAATTATTCGTTGCTAACAGCAACCCACTTTCTTTTTTCATTCCGTCTTCTATTTTATTCAACCATAAAACTGTCCTGTTTTGACATATTTGTCAAACCACATTAATTTCTCATAAGCACTTTAATCACATCTAATTTGGGAATTTATAAAAAAAATATTCAGATATAAAACTTAACAATACTAATATAATTTATTCTTTTCATCTCCACATCATTGTAATTTATTTAACAAAACCCCTATTAATTTAGTTCCCACAGACTTTTGACAGTTTATTTTTCTGACGTTTATTTTTAAAATTTCTATGTTTAAATAATTTTTTAAGAATTCTTCTTTTTTATTCCTTTTAAGGTTTAGACGATTCACCTATACACTAGGCAACTATACTATTCAGAAATTATTAACACTATACCAGGTAAGTCAAAATTAATTTATTTAGCAATTTACTAATCTTTTCTCCCTTTTATTTCAGAGTCGACCCCACATTGTGATGGCTTCATGAAATTCATGAACAACAAACTCATATAAAAATCCCTTTAAGTTATATCCTCTTTGACCTATTGAAATCATTTCAATATATATGAAACTTAGAGCTAAGATTAACTTTTTAGACTTAGTGTATAAATTTTGAAATTGATATGTTTAAACCTCGTAAAATTATTCAATTTGTTTATAAGCCTAAAAAATTTTAAAACTTTTCTAGGCTCCCCTAGTGAACCGATTTGAATTTTACAAAAAGCGTTTGAAAGTTTGAGCCTTCCTTTATATGTCAAAAAAAATTGCAACTATCTGAGGGCCTTATTTAGGGCCTACTACAAATTTGAAAATTCAGAGCAGCCAGAGATGAAAACCAAATGCCAGGACAGGGATTCACGTCCAACAGCTGCTCAGAACACTAACGCGTCGAGAGGCGGGGAGTGAATCCGGATTGAATGTCCTGGCATTTGGTTTTTACCTCTGGCTGCGTTGAGTAGTTGAGTTACTGTGACCAAATGCCCATCTTGGTAGTTAGTATTCGCCTCTGGTTGCGTTGAGTAACTGAGTTACCGTTGCTAACTACCCATCTTCCTGTCTTTTGATTTCTTTTTCTTTGTTCTCCTGAAGAAGCTACATACAATTGTAGCGAAACGTCGAGATGAACCCACTTTTGGGTCACTCACAAATGACACGGTCCAAACCCGGAAGACGAATAAACTATAATAAACATTAAATTTTGAATTTCTAACTAACGAAAAATTTTTTCTCTAGAATCAATATTTTTTGAATTATAAACGAAAATAGGAGCAAAAAGAATGAGAAATTTTCAATTGTTTACAGATATTGTTAAATAAAAAATTTAGCACATGGTTTGCAACTGGCGCATATCGTGATTATCGATATTGCACACATCCTGAAGGGATTCCAGCGAAAAAATAGCTTCCTATGGAAAATTTCCATTATGGTCTGAATTTCTACAGATCCCGCCTAGTCTAATATTACTGTTACTTGCTCACACATTCAACAAAATATTGAAAATACGGAGTAGAGTCAATATAAGACAGATCCTCAAATTTCAGTTTTCTTGAATCTTTTATTCTTAATTTTTCAACAGTTCAAAGTAACGTTTTTATTAATATTTTCTTTGATGTTTTAATCCAAATAACGCCAAAACATATTATTTGAATAGTAGTGTATAAAATACATCAAGTGTGCAGTCCTGTTACATTTCTGTGCGCGTTTAGTTAAAGTTTAACCTGTACAATACAATTTTTGACTGATTATTATTATATAATTTGCATCAACTCCAAAACAAAAACTAAACCACTAAATAAAATGCAACCTAAATACACAACAAACGTACTTTCTAGATGTTGGACCTTTAAAGGTGCATACCTAAGCAAATCTTTGACATCTGCTAAAGCTATAGCTTTTGTATATTGGGCATAAACATTTTTAAGTATATAATCTACAATTCCCGTTTCTATTAAACATCTAATTTTTTTATTAAAACTAATAAAAGTAGGATGTCCTTGTGGAAAACTAAAAGCTAGATATACAGGTATTTCTTTCGGATCAAAGACACGGATTAAAGATCTGCCTTCGTTGTCCAAACACAAATCAGGAGTAGCATACATCACAGTTCCCTTCAGTAGATAGCTTACTATGTCTTTGTCATTCGCTGTTTGATTTAAACACTGGATGTAACGGCAAAGAAAAGTTCTATTCGTTGTAACTAAATCTTTGTAAAATTCATTAACGGAACTGTTAAATATTTCTATAAGTTTTATAGCTGGCATACCTACTTTAAAATGTGATTCCCTCCAAATATCATTAAGATCTTGGAAGAGTTCAGGAGAAAAATCTTTAATCATAATATCAAACATTCTTGTCCTGTAAACAGCGGTAATGATTGTACAGAAATGTAAAAAAGTTATAAACAATATTTTCCTCCCTTTAGTTGGTAGCGGAATTGAAGCAGAACCTTCAAAAAGAATACTAATCATTGCAATGGTTAGATTCGATTCATATGAAGATATTTTGAACAAGAAATATATGCATAGCATTACTACGAAAAAACACAACCAAACAGAAACCGAAAGTTCTCTGTAAAATATTTTCCTACTGTTTGTAGTTTTAAAAATCCGTGGTACTACGAACACAGCATTAGTTGAACCAAAACAAGTCTTTTCCAGTAGAATATTATCTTGCGTTTTATGATACAAAGTTGGTAAAATGTAGAAGTCGTATCTATTAAGTCTAAATTCTAACGGAACCGTGAATCCATCAGAGATATCATTTGACTCCAACAAATTCAGTGTTAAGTTCATATTGGAGGTAATAAGTCTTACAATATCGAAATAAAATCCTGTAGTGCTATTTATTATTCCTGGTGGAAGTCGAGCATAATATGTTTTTAAGCTATAAATTATAGCAGATTCCGATTTTAAATCTTTTAGTTTATACAGTTGACAGCTAACTTTCAAATCTGTAAGCTGATAGCTACCTTTTTCACTGGTTTTATATTTGAACATCTTCAATGTGGTTTTAACAATTATGAGTATTTTATAAATGTAATAATCATCTAAAACAATGAGCAGTTCTTTATCTATCTTGTCCACTAAAATTATAAATTTAGCTCTGCTATTCAACACCGTGTAATTGTAAAGGGTTCCTAATATTTTAGTAATATTTCCTGACATTAGAAATACAGTTGGACTGTTAAGAATAGATTTTTTAAAATACTCATCAGTGTTTAATATAACAATTGGAACTTGAAGTTGAAGATTTACATTCACCGAATAAATTACCTCAGTTGTATTACTAGAAGATGACAATAACGTATTTAAGCAATTCTCCATGACACTTTTTTCAGTTTCTATTGAAAAAATAACTTTTATTAAAAGACTGTATATTAATAAAACTAGTATCATCTTAAAGACTTAACTACGAAATACAAAACATAAGTAATATATCTGCGTTACAATATTCGAATATTAATCAGTTTCCCTATCAAATTATAACCTGTCACAAGTTAAATAATGAGCGTATCGTAAAAAATGTTCGTATTTTTCGTAACAACATGACTTCCAAAAATGATTTGGCATATAATATGGGGAAAGTAACTAAAGTTGTACAAAAATAACTGTAATATTAATCATATCTGGATTCGAAAGACTGGGCCTTACCCTACAACCTACTGGACACGTACCAATATAGTGCGTTTATATTACAACTCAAAGCAAAAATATATAGGATTACATATTTCTTAATTAGATATTTCAAATAAATGAAACTGTGTACGCCATTTAGCTTAATGAAATAAATTGGCTATTAACTGGGTATTGAATATTATAAATATATATATATATATATATATATATATATATATATATATATATATATATATACAAAATACTCAATGCTATTACTGCTTCTCACAAATTTACAGGCTGCTAGAATTATTTAAGTAATTTTTCCCTATAATTTATTATATATATATATATATATATATATATATATATATATATATATATATATATATATATATACCGGGTGGTGAATCGTCAAACGGGCCATAGGAAACTCAATGAGAAATTTTAAATTGTTGAATTGCTGCTTCCCTAATTATTTTAGATCAAAAGTCATAAAAAACTATTTGTAGAGGACTAAAATCTGAATTAAAAACAAATGTTAAAACCGTTCTACGAATCAAATGTACTTCAAAATTTTGAAAAAATGTGATACATTTTTCAGACCACCCCTAAAAGTTAGGCCACACGTAATGCAAGAATATATATTAGGACGTTTGTGTTTTATCATATTAATGTCAGATGTTTGACAATTTGAATTGTCAATTTTTTTATTTTATAATTAAATTATAAACAATGAATTTTACTAAATACTACTACTACTGAACATTATTACTTTGTGAACAATAAATTATATTGTTTACAAATCGATCAATATAATGAAATGTACCTACTCATTTGACGAAAAATTGCATAATGTTGTATTCAGGCAATAACGCGAACCTTTTCTTGCCACTACCGGATCTTTATTTAACGTAAGATATTCTAATTCACTAAAATTTAATTCCATGGTAAGTTAAGTTATACAACAATTCAATGAATTCCAATATACTGTTACTGTGATCTTTATTCCTAATAATAATATATGATTATTTCTAAACCATAAAACTATAACAAATGTTATAATAAAACTTGAATAAAACATTTTTATTATTGCTTTTTTCTCCTCAACTGAGTACATTTTTTAATCAACTTAATTTTTTTTTAACAATAAATCACAAAATTTTGGCCATTTAAGTCATAGATAAATAAAAATATAATTGGTTTAAATATTGTCAAATATCAGAAACAATAATATGACAAAACGCAACACGTAATACACATTTTTTCACAGAAAAATGTATTATATTTTAGCAAAATTTTGGAATACGTTTAAGTCGTAGAATAATTTTAACAGTTGTTTTCGATACATATTTGAGTCCTCTACAAATAGTTTCCCATGACTTTTGGTGCAAAATAATTAGGGAAGCAGGAATTCAACAATTTAGAATTTACCATTGAGTTTCCTATGGCCCGCTTGCCGATTCACCACCCTGTATATATATATATATATATATATATATATATATATATATATATATATATATATATATATATATATATATTACTTAACACTTAGACCTTATTACACAAATAAAGAGAAAATAAAATTTTTAGATTTTTTGATGAGGAGGAAAACCAGTCCCCAATACCTATGGAAACAGGACCATATACAATATTGTCTATGACATAGGCAATACTCCAAAAGATTGGCTAGTTTCAGAATTTATTACGTTACCAAAGAAACAAGCAGCGAAAAGGTGCGGAGAATATAGGCTAATAAGTCTAATAAGCCATACACTAAAACATTTTTATAAAATTATACATCGCAGAATATACAAGCTATGCGAAGAGAGAATATAAGACACACAGTTTGGATTCATAAAAGGCGTAGTTAAGAGATATGCACTATTTAGTCTACATGTATTATTCCAAAGATGCAGAGATATGACTACCAAAAAGCATTTAACACAGTTCAATACCGAAAAATGATGGATGTCCTAACAAAAGCCCAAATAGATACTAAGAAATCAGTCACAATACGAACAAATCTTGGAGATGAACCGACGGATGCTATCCAGATTCTGCGAGGCGTTACCTGTCACCTAAATTATTCGACCTATATTCAGAGGAAATATTAAGTGAACCCGTGAAAAATTGCGAACATGGAATCCTGTTAAATAGAGAACGCCTAAACAACATCCGCTATGCAGATGACAACGTTATTTTTGCAGACAGTTTAAACAGTTTACAGGAACTAATAAACAAAGTAAATGAAGTAAGTGAAAGTTGTGGACTACAGGTAAAAATATCAAAAACTAAATTTATGGTCATCAGCGTCATACGTCAAAATAAAATTAGAGACGAATAGTAGGTAAACGAACAACAGGATCACTCACAAGAAGTAAAATGTAGAATAGAGAAGGCTAGGAGTGCATTCAACAACATGGTCAAACTCTTTAAAAGCCACAATCTTGATCTGGTGATTAAAGTAACGCTCCTACGATGTTATGTCTTCTCGATATTATACGATACGAAGTTGAATCCTGGACACTCACTGAATTGATGGAAAAAGAATTTGAAGCCTTCAAAATGTGGCTATACAGAAGAATCCTAAGGATATCATGGATGGACAAGATAACCAACGAGACTACTACGAACAATGGGGAAAGAAAAAGAACTGATGTATACAATTAAAAGGGAAAAGTTAGAATATCTCGGACACACAATGAGAAACGGCACAAAGTTAATAAAATAATTATAGCCAGAATGTTCGCCAATATTCGAAACGAATAGACACAAAGAAGCTGTATACAAAATTTTGCAATTATTGTGACTTGCTGTTCAAAAAAAACAGAGAAGGCTACTTTAACCCTTAAACAGGAAAGAATGTATGCAATTATCAAAATTAATTAATTTTGTTAACACCAATTTATTATTCAAACGAAAAAACTAGAAGCCGGAAATACTCACAAAATGATGCGTTGGATGTTTAACGAAATATCTTCCTTTAAGAATAGTTATTTATCTACAATTAAATAATAAAGGTGTCTTAGGACATTTGGAGGCAAGTTTGAGTGCAGCAGATTTACGAACATTAATTAATATTAAACAAGGTCAGGATAACTTACACATACGAGGTGTGTTAAAAAAATACCCGGAATTTTCGTTTTTAAAAAAATATATTTATTTATTCGGCTATATTAATGTTGTCTCATTCAAAGTAGTCCCCATCAGATATTATGCACTTGTGCCAACGCTTCTGCCGATCTTAAAACACTTCTCAAACTCGATCTTTGGGATAGCCTTTAGTTCTCTCAGCAAAGTGTTTTTAATGTCAACTATGCTTGTGAAACGATGGTTGTTTAATGTTTTCTTTATTTTTGGAAATAAGAAAAACTCTGGCGAGTATGGAAGCTGCGGCATCATTACAGTATTTTTTGGCCAAAAATTCACGAATAGGCAATGGAGTGTGAGTTTGTGTATTAGCAATCCTTTTGAGTAAATATAGGTCTTCGTTTACGTCATTTAGCAACTCTTGAGCAACGTCCTCGCTGTTTTTTTCGAAATTCAACAATTTTGGAACAAATTTTGCTGACACGAGATTCATACCCAAAACATGGGCATGAGCCATTTAATATGTCAACTTTATCAGCGACTTTTCTGATTGTGATTCGGCGGTCATTCACAACCATTTCTGTCACTTTTGTTACGTTTCCATGGGTTCTTGATGTACTGGGGCGTTCATCATTTTTAACGTCTTCACGGCCATCTTGGAAACGCTTATACCACTTTTTTTTTTCATAACATATTTACCATAGGACTTTGTTAACATTTCATACAATTTTTACACTTTATTTTTTATGCAAAACCTAATAGAAAGTCTGTGATATATTTTTTTAAATAAATGGAAATCACCGAGCTTATTAAAAACATTCTACCTTATCGGCTGCCACAGACAAGATATCCAATGAATATAACTGTCAATTTTTTTAAACTTTAGGAGCATATATACGATTTGACAAATTTGACAATAATTGGTCTCTCCAAACCGGCGAAATTTAAAAATTCCATATTATTTTTTGAACACACCTCATATACAGTACATATAAATATAAATTTATATGGCTATATTATAGCATTTTTTAAAGTAAAAACGTTGCACGTGACAATTTATATAAAGTGACGTCACTTGTATTTAAAAATTTCCAGAACATTAACCTTAGAGTTAATATTTTCCTAACACAGCTAATAATACGACACCCATGCAGAACTGCTCGATTTTTCATAGAAAAATGTAATCATGATTATATTGGGAATTTTAGAATTATATTGATTAAATACCCAAAATTATTTGTTATTACTATTAATATAATTTTTATGAAATAACTGTTTAAGTTTAATGGTCCAGTAAGGTAAGTCCACAAAATAATAATTTTAATTAAATAGATTAGACAATCGTACGCCACTGATAGGGGAATACTTCAAATTTTAATGACAGTTCAACGTTTGGCAAAATTGTTTAGTGTTGCCGCTTTTTTAGAGTAAGAATTTTATTTATGTTTTGATTTCTTATACAATTTGTTTACAATATATTATATATAAATAAATTGTTTTTATAAATACACATTAAATTTAGATAAATAATTTAACAATTAATTATTGTTGCGTATTGTGATTGTGCTATTGATATGTGCAAGAAATAGTGAAGCCACTATTTCTTGTTCAAAAGCCACTAATTTTTACTCGCCACTAATTTTTACTATTAATGCTCCAAAAGAGGTAAGTTGAAAATTAAAATATATAATGTTGTATTAAAATGTTTTCTTATGTATTTAAGTGTGTTGCAATAATCTTAAAACTAAGTGTATCCACTGTTAATAATATTTCCCAAGTTGTTAAAAATAATTAACTTTTAAAATCAATTTTGAAAGTGGGATTATTTTCTTCAAACTAGGTTCAAATTAAGTTCAATACGGCGTTGTAGAAAAATTAATCTAAATACCGATCCTAAACTTTGTATATGAATGCCGTACTGTACCAAATTGCCAAAAACGGAGAAAAACTTTTCCGAAAATAAAAAATTGTCCCTGCTCATGGTACCAATATTTTTGTAAGTCATTAGTTAGCCATATGTATGGCATTGTATTACCTACCCTAAGAGTTGGTCATTTATTCTGAAATTATGTATTACATAAATTTTTATATTTAAACATTTAAATAAAGTTAAAAAACATAAAAGGTATTAACAGAAGTTTGATCATGTTTACCAGGAAATATTTGTTAATATTGTATGCATAATTAAATTTTAAAAACTATATAGACAAGGCGAACAGCTTGGGATCGTTCGGATAAATATTCCCATGAGACTTTTTTACATAATCCACCTTCATGAGATACCCCAGAATAAGGTTCAAGAGGAAATGTTCGCCCATGCGAAAAAAGTGGTCCTAAATTATTTAAACAAATTGTAAAAATCAATTTTTCGGCCCAGATGAATTTTAAATTTTCTGGATTATTCTGAACAAATTCTTTTTTGTTTTGAGTGATAAACAATTTAAAACTAAAAAAAAACGAAAAATTATAATTTTCAAGGCTCAAAAGCACACAAGTAAAAAATATTATTTTGTTTAAGCGTTTATAAAAGGATGGGAGCTCGGTTTGCAGCGTGTATAAGAGAGAGAAACAAGATTTATGCCATTTATACAAATGAGCGCCCGCCTTGTCATAAGCGCTTCATTAACGATCAAAAAGCAATTTTTTAAAATAAACCAAGCGCAGAATTTTCATCGGGAGCTGACAAAAGAAGTGTTGAACATGAATTTGGGAACTTGATTTAAAAAATAATATTTTTTACTTGTGCTGTCGAGCCCTAAAAATCGTAATTTTTTGTTTTTTTTTAAGGCTGTTTTAAATTGTTTATAACTCGAAAACGATCAATTTTAGAGGAAAATTACAAGATATATTTTTGTTTATAATGATCCAAACAACATAAAAAAAATGTACAAGAAAAAAATTGATTTTTATAATTTATTTAAAAATAGTTACTTAAATTAGGACTTCTGTATGTCTCGAATCTTGTTTTTCTGCCTCAATTGGGACATTGTCACACCATAGAGTGCTAAGAATAATTAGACTACAATTAATTAGGAACGTTTACTAAGGTGTTCATAATTTAAGTGAAGTCCTATTACAGTTACGTAAGTAGCGATCTGCAGTGCACCTGTGAACGGAAAAGGATAAAAATTTGCGTAAATCGCAATGTATTGAATACAATTTGTCACTTGTTGTTATAGTATATGCATCAATTCCAGGGCAAACATCAAACAACTAAATAAAATACAACAAAAATACACAACAAACGTGCTTTCTAGATGTTGGACTTTTAAAGGTGCATATCTAAGCATATCTTTGACATCTGCCAGAGCCATAGATTTTTTATATTTCGCATAAACGTTTGTCATCATATACTGTATAATTCCGGTTTCTGTTAACGACATAATTTTTTTATTAAATCTATTAAAAGTGGGATGTCCTTGTGGAAAGCTGAAGCCTAGATAGAGAGGTATTTCTTTTGAATCAAAAAAACGTACTAACGATCCGCCTTCTGTATCCAAACACAAATCAGGTGTGGCATACATAAAAGTTTCCTTCAGAAGATAGCTTACTATATTTTTATCATTAGCTGTTTGTTTCAAACATCGTGTATAATCGCATATAAAAGTTCTATTCTTTGTAACCAGATCTTTGTAAAATTCATTAACAGAGTTTTTAAATATTGTAATAATATTTTCAGATGGCACACCTACTTTAAAATGTGATTCTTTCCAAATGTCATTAAGATCTTGGAAGAGTTCGGGAGAAAAATTTTTAATCATAATATCAAACATTCTTGTTTTGTAGGCAGCGGTAATGATTGTACAGAAATGTAAAAATGTTAATAATAATATTTTCCTTCCATTATTTGCTAAGGGAATTAAAGCAGAACCTTCAAACAAAATACTCATCATTGAAATGGTTACGTTTGCTTTATATCCAGATAGTTTGAACAAAAAGTATATAGACAGTATTACTGCAAAAAACCATAACCAGACATACAACGAAAACTCTTCGTAAAATATTTTCCAACTGTTTTTAGTTTTAAAAATGCGTGGTACTACAAAAACAGCACTGTTTGACCCAAAACAGGTCTTGTCTAGAAGCATATTAGGCTGCATTTTATAATGATACGGAGTTGGTAAAATGTAGAGGTCATATTTATTGATTCTGAAGTTCAAAGGAACGTTGAAACCGTCAAAGGCAGCGCTTAAATCCGACTTTACAAAATTCGGCTTTAAGTTCAGACTAGAAGTAATAAGTCTTATAATGTCGACATAATATCCTGTAGTGTTGCTCATTATTGCAGGTCGAAGTATAGAATACATTATTTTTAAGCTATAAACATTTGCAGGTTGTGAGTTTAAATCTTTTAGTTTATATAGATGACAGCTATCTTTCAAATATGTAAGCTGATATTTACCTTTATCACTGGCCTTATATTTGAACATTTTTAATGTAGTATTAACAATTATAAGTATATTGTAAATGTAATAGTCATCTAAAACATTGAGCAGTTCTCTAGTTATCTTGTCGACTAAAACAATAAATTTAGCTCTGCTGTTTAACACTCCTTTGTTATAAAGTGTTTCTAATGCCGTGGTAATATTTCCTGAAATTACAAATACAGTCGGATCCGTCAGTAAAGATTGTTTAAAATGATTATCAGTATTCAATATTACAATTGGAACTTGAAGTTGGATATTTACATTCACCGAATAAATCACCTCAGTTTTATTACAAGGGGAAAATAATAACGTATTTAAGCAGTTTCCTATGACCGCATTTTCAGGTTCTGCTGAAAAACTAACTTTTACACTAAAATTGAATATTAAAAAGAGTAGTATCATTTTAAAGAATCCTTCACAACGAAATACAATGGATAAGTGATGCATATGTCGAATGTGGCGGTAATAATAATCAGTTTCCTTGTCAAATTATAAGTTGTCACATATTTTTGAATAATATCCCTATCGTATGAAATTTTTCGGTTTGTTGGTAATAAAATGTTCTCAAAAAAAATTAAGTGGCATATAATATAAAACAAATGGTTCTCTACTTCTAGGTAAAATTTTAGTGATTTTAGTAAAATCTAATAATCCCAGAAAGTTACGGCAACCGACAACAAAGTCATTAAATACTTATTTTATGCTAACCACCTTAACTTGACACCGAATAATACACCAAATACCAACATGGGATTTATTCATCATATTTGACTCGACAATTATTTGTGGATTTTGACTTGCTCCAATATGTGTCGCCATTCTGTTCCGTTTCTAGCGACCTGTTGCCTTCTTCTGATTTTTAATACCCCAAGTCGTCTCAACTCTATTCAACCACCTCTGCTGCTTCTTCCTACAGATATTCCTATGGCTCGCCTTTTAGAGATTGTGTTGTCTGCCATTCGTATTATGTGTCCAGTCCATCTGAGTCACTGTGTTTTAATGAACGTTACAACATCTGGTTCATTAAAGAGTTGGTATAATATAAAGTTATACCTTTTGCGACACTGCCCTTGGTCATTTATGACTCCAAATATTTTGCGGAGTATTTTACGCTTGTAAATTACATTGGACAAAAATATTGTTAGACGGGAAGTGCTATCTTGGAGGCCACTTTAAACAAGGAAAGACAGTCTCTTTCCTTGTTTGAAAAGTCAAATTTAGTTTGGTTATGTTATTGTTTGTCCCAACTGTCACATGAAATTTTATTTATATTGAAGTTTTTTACCAATTGTGTCACTTTTTAGACTATTATAGTTAATATTTAATTTAAATTAATTTAAAACTTTCTCGTCTGAAAAATATTTTATAGCTATTGTTAATAAGTGTTGGAAAATTTAAATTTAGCGCCTTTGCATTTTCGGATATGTCCGCCATCAGAGGCCACTTTTTTGGTCTCCTTTTCATAACGCTTAGATTCCCTCTTTTATCTTTTTGCTCGATGGTTATACACAAGTGTTATTAGACCATTATGATAAGCTCTGTGAAGTAGTCGACTAAGACGCAGCAAGTGGAAGCAATAAAGCTACAAGGTTAGCATGCCTGTTTATTACGCGGGACATAAAAAAACTCCCACAGAGGCGTTGCGAGTCTTGCTGAATCTTCCACCACTTCATATCTTTATACAGGGCGAAGCCAGATTTGTGATGCACAGATTAATACATAGTCAGCAATACATAAGCCAGGCGCATACTGCTGACAATAGAAAGCTAATGGAGGAGCTAAAAGCAGATATCGTAACAGGGCACATCAATGCAACAGCTACGAGATATAGCTTTGACAATAAATTCAAAATTAATATACGAGGCAGGGAAGACTGATGGCTCAAAAACATCTGAGAGTGTAGGAGCCGTTATAGTAGGGACAAAGCAAGGGATACATTTCCCGGTATGTCTATCGTCAAATCGTCTGTAAGCTAAATAAGCAGTTTAAGCTGATGGGATTGACAGAGATGATCTATGCATATTCTGTCCCATAGAAGAAGAAACGGCAGAGCACACCCGCAAAGAGCTACATGGAAGGTTCAGTCTCGAAGCTATTAGACCTTTTAAAAAGGGCCAGGCTGAAGAATGTAAACCAAGATTAGAGGACCACAAGAGATCTGAAAAGGTTGCAGTGGAATAGGCCAAATGTCACTCATTAAATATATCTATGAGCAAATTGATCATGCCATAATATGCCACAAATAATTCCAGAACAGCATTAAAAGAGTAGCAGCCGCTTATCCTGGAGAAAACATTGGCTCTGATCATAAAATAATAATTAATGACTTTAGCTTCGGTTTCTTATTATTGTTCTGAAGCTATTTTCTTGTGGCATTGTAAATTAATTACTATTAAACTGGGAATATTTATTTAAAAAACAATTTACTGTTTGTATTTTGAGAACAATTTCCGAAGTGGAAATTGAAACGTCAATAAACGTATTTTTATCTTTAATTGTGGCTTATTTAATAGTAATATTGGCTCCAGTTTAATAGTAATTAATTTAGATTCGGTGGTGAAATGATCTCTAGATTGGCTAGAGAAAAAATTATGTACAGAAATTCCAAATGACAGGAAATTCTGGTAACAATGCAAAGAAAGAGTAATACAAATAATGAAAAAGATAATGCAAAGGAATAAATAGACGAATGAAAAATGAGATAAAGACAACGAAGAGAACTATTACTTTTAAGACACGATCTTTTAATTTTCATAGAATTTGTAGAGTAATAATAAATAACTAAATTATGTTACCCCTAATAATTTTAAAGTTATTTTAGAAATTTTAATTTTTTTCTATTTTTTCTATTCTAACACAGTTTACTAACTCATTGAGAATAAATTCGGGTGTTACGATAAGAATTGTGGAGGCTTTAGAAGATATTTCATACAAAGATGAATAATACAAAAGAAAAGATAAACCAAAAAGCGAGAGAACAACATGGCAATGAATGATAATAAATGAAGCGAAGTAGATAATAGCATCATTCCCAACTAGGCGAGGAAACATAGCACCCAACCTACCAATTTTCTGCCAGAAGATGAATCGCTGTGTAACTTTTTGCATTCGTTTCGGGAGAGTGGCACAAAAATTGTGTATCATTGAAGAACTTTTACATCAAAAAAGTTAAGTACAACCTCAAAAATCGCATTTACAAACTCAAAAATCGCATTAACTTCTAGATCATCCGTAATTTTGTACCTATTAAAATAAAATAGGAGAAACCAAAAAAAAAGGTTAAAAATAAACAAATTGTTTTATCTAAAAAAATGTGTTTATTAGATGAAATTTGACCAGCTTCAATAGCATCATAATATTTGTGACTCGTACATAAGAAAAGGTTGCCGATCAGTGCTCTAAATGGTTCGGATTTATAGTTTTATCTAAGCACATAATGGTGTTCTTGGCAAGGCTTTTTATGGACCAGATTAGTTTTTATCGACTTCTATTTTCTGCAAGCTGTTCCATATTCTTGGCCTTGGTACAGTGTCAAATGCCTTCTCCAAATATATGAATGCTCGGTAGATTCTTCCTCCGAAACCTACCTTTTTTTTGCAAATATATTTATCGTAAATGCTTGGTTTTATTGTAAATATATTATCTTGCATGCTTCTACTTTTGCAGAATCCTTTTGTATTTCGGTTTCTTATCTAGAATATATTTAAGGTTTAGTATACCTACACTTATTATTACCCTCATATGAAGAATAAGTCCTCCTCCTCCTCAGTCCTACTCCCTTTTTGGGATGTGGTGACACCATCAGGCCTTTACAGTTTTTTCACGATTTCCCTCCATCCTTCTCTGTCCTGGGCTAGTTGTTCGGCTTCACGTAACACTTGGTTAATCAATATTTTTGTTTGATCTATCCAACGGCTTGGAGATCTTAACCTAGGTCTTTTTCCTTCAACTCTACCCTCGACTATCAGTTTTTCCATCGTACCTGTTCTTCTAGCAATGTGTCCAAAATACTGCAAATACCTTTGTTGAATTTGTTTAAGCAATCTATCCTTTACTTTAAGTTGTTCTAATATGGATACGTTAGTGCGATGATCAATCCAGGATATTCTCAACATGCGGCGGTATAACCACATTTCAAAAGCGTCCAGTTTATTTTTGTCCACTTTCTTTAAGGTCCACGTTTCGGATGCATATGTGGCTATGGGAAAAATGAGCGCCCTTATCAGCCTTAGTTTTGTGTGTATTGTTATGATAGAATTTTTCCAAATTGCTACCAGTTTCATCATAGCTGTTCTAGCAATAGTCAACCTTCTACGTATTTCTCTGTCACGCCGTCCGTCATTTGTTATTAGGGACCCCAGGTATATGAAAGTATTTACTACTTCAAAGCCCCCAATTTCTTTAATGTGTTGAAGATTATTCCGAGCTCTGTCTACTATCATAATCTTTGTCTTACTCCTGTTTAGCTTTAGTCCATATGTTTTGCTCTTTTCCTCCAAACATCTCATTATGTCTTCCATTTCTTCTTGATTTGCGGCAATTATTAAAGTTTGAGGGTATACAAGGCAACTATCGAACACGGTGATTAATTTAATCTTGCCCAAGCGCTTTCGATCAATAGATCATCTTCAGGGGCATTTCGTCAATTGTGGACTATCCGACATACTAGAATGTCATAAATGTAAAAACTGGACATAACAATACAAAATACACTACACTAAGACAAACAAACACTTTAAAATTTATATGGCGAAGCTACATATTGTGAAGAAGCCGGAGACAGAATGGGCTCCCGGTCTGACGGAAATGTAGAGATGACTCATCTCTACATTTCCGTCAGACCGGGAGCCCATTCTGTCTCCGGCTTCTTCACAATATGTAGCTTCGCCATATAAATTTTAAAGTGTTTGTTTGTCTTAGTGTAGTGTATTTTGTATTGTTATGTCCAGTTTTTACATTTATGACATTCTAGTATGTCGGATAGTCCACAATTGACGAAATGCCCCTGAAGATGATCTATTGATCGAAAGCGCTTGGGCAAGATTAAATTAATCACCGTGTTCGATAGTTGCCTTGTATACCCTCAAAGTTTAATTATTCGAACATTCAACCTTATATTGAATTATTAAAGTGTCATCAGCATATCTCAAGTTATTGATTTTTTGACCTACTGATATTCCGCCCTTCCATCCGTCTAGTACCTTTCGCATAATTTGTTCGCTGTAGATATTAAACAGCGAGATTATGTATCCCTGCCTGACACCTGCCTGTGTTCTTAAATGATCGGAATGGGTGTGGTTATTTTTACTGTGCACTTATTATTTTCATATAGAGTTCTAATTAGTTGAATTAAATGGTGGGGTGTTCCCATTTCCGCTAGTATGGACCATCACTGCTGCCATTTGACTTTATCGAAGGCCTTTGTGTAATCCACAAAGCACATAAGCATAGGAGTATTGAATTCACGAGCTTTTTCGATTAGCTGTCTGACATTAAGGATGTGTTCTCTTGTGCCTTTTCCTGGGACAAATCCCGCTTGTTCTTCTGATGTCTGAGGCAATAGAAAAGCTTTTAATCTTTCATGTATTAGATGAAGTATCTTGCTTGCAAGAGATATTAGGGTTACCGTTCTGTAGTTGCTGCAATCTACCGGATTGAACGGATTTTTTGAATATAGGGATGAAAGTGGCTGTTGTCCAGTCGTTGAGCCACTCTCCGGTTTCCCAAATCTTTTTGCAGATCTTATGCATAACATTTACTCCAACATCTCCAGTCTCTTTTAAAACTTCTGCGGAGATCTCGTATGAGCCAGGAAATTTTCTATTTTTCAACTTATTGATTGCTTTTCTACCCCTGACTTTAGAGTGTTTGGTTCTCTCTCTGCAGTGAACTCTTCGTGATTTGCATTTTGGGGATCATCTGCATATAGACCTTGACAATATTTTCTCCATACTTCCGCAATCCCTTTCTCGTCATTTATAATATGTTGGTTTTGATCCATTATTGTTTGTATGATTGGTTTAAATTCCCTGGGTAGATATCGGACTAGATATACTAGATAGAAGAATAACTAGACTTTAATTAATTAGGAACATTTACTAAGGTGTTCATTGTATTAACTCTAGAGCAAACATTAAACAACTAAATAAAATACAACATAAATAAACAAAAAGCGTACTTTGTAGATGTTCGACTTTTAGAGGTTCATACCTAAACATATCTTTGACATCTGCCAGAGCCATAGCTTTTTTATATTTTGAATAAACATTTGTTTTCATATACTGTATAACTCCGGTTTCTATTAAGGATATAATTTTTTTATTAAAACTAGTAAAAGTGGGATGTCCTTGTGGAAAGCTAAAGCCTAGATAGAGAGGTATTTCCTTCGGATTAAAGAAACGTACTAATGACCGCCCTTCCTTGTCCAAACACCACTCAGGAGTGGCATACATAAAAGTTTCCTTCAGCAGATAGCTTATTATATTTTTGTCCTCAGCTGTTTGTTTCAAATACTGTGTATAATCGCACGCAAAAGTTCTATTTTTTGTAACCAGATCTTTGTAAAATTCATTAACAGAGATGTTAAATATTTTAATAAGGTTTACAGATGGCACACCTACTTTAAAATGTGATTCTCTCCAAACGTCAGTAAGATCTTGGAAGAGTTCGGGAGAAAAATCTTTAATCATAATGTCAAACATTCTTGTCCTGTAGGCAGCGGTAATAATTGTACAGAAATGTAAAAATGTTAATAATAACATTTTCCTTCCATTACTTACTAAAGGAATTACAGCAGAACCTTCAAACAAAATACTCATCATTGCAATGGTTAAGTTTACTTTATATCGAGAGAGTTTGAACAAAAAATATATAGACAGTATTACTGTAAAAAAGCACAACCAGACATAAATCGAAAATTCTCTGTAAAATATTTTCCAACTGTTTTTAGGTTTAAAAATGCGTGGTACTACAAAACCAGCAGTGTGTGACTTAAAACAGGTCTTCTCTAGCAGCATATTAGGCTGCGTTTTATGATACGAAGTTGGTAAAATGTACATGTCGTATCTATTGATTCTAAACTCCATAGGAACGTTGAATCCGTCATAGGCAACACTTAAAGCCGATTTTAATAATTTCAGCTTTAAGTTCATACTAGAGGTAATAAGTTTTATAATGTCGATAAAATATCCCTCAGTGTTGTTCAATATTCCAGGTGGAAGTACAGAGTACATTACTTTTAAGCTATGAATTTTTGCAGTTTCTGATTTTAAATCTTTTAATTGATACAGGGGACAGCTTACTGTCAAATGTGTAAGCTGATATTTACCTTTCTCACTGACCTTATATTTGAACATTTTTAGTGTAGTATTAACAATTATAAGCATATTTTAATGTAATAGTCATCTAAAACATTGAGCAGTTCTCTAGTTATCTTGTCGACTAAAACTATAAAGTTAACTCTGCTCTTTAACACTCCATTATTGTAAAGTGTTTCTAATACAGTTGTAATATTTCCTGAAATTACAAATACAGTTGGACTGTTCAGTATAGATTTTTTAAAATACCTATTAGTATTTAATATTACAATTGGAACTTGAAGTTCGATATTTACATTCACCGAATAAATCACCTCGGGATTATTATCAGAGGAAAATAATAACGTATTTAAGCAGTCTCGTATGACCGCATTTTCAAGTTCTGCTGAAAAACTGACTTTTAAACTAAAATTGTATATTAAAAAGAGTAGTATCATTTCAAAGAATTTTTCACTACGAAATCCAATGGATAAGTGACCTATAAGTCCGATGTAGCGAGAAAAATAATCAATTTCCTTGTCAAATTATAAGTTGTCACATATTTTTGAATAATATCCCTATTGTATGAAATTTCCCGTTTTTTGCTAATAAAACCTCTTAAAAAATATGTGGGTTATAATATACAAAAAATGGTAATCTACTTATCCTTAAAATTTTAATGTTAATTTCAATAATAGTTGAAAGTAATAGGAACTTATAACAATACTTTTTGAAACTGTTTTCTTGTGAAATATGTCTAAGATAAATATATTAAATATTATGACTATATGGGAATAAGCGACAAATGTTTGTAATGAAAATTAAATTTTTTTAATAATATGCCCAATAAATACTTATTTTATGCTAACAACTTTTCACTACGGCGGCAGTAAAACATAATCAATAGTTTCTCAGGTCCGGGCATGTATAAAACTAACAGAGGGTGCTAATAATCTCTCAGCTAAATACAGCATAATTCACCAAATAGTAAGATGAAAAGCCATCATCATGGAATTCTATTCAATGCTGGATTTTTACTACTTCTAAGTCAGTTTCAATTACATCCAACTAACTTATCTTACTGTGGTTAGCTTTTTACCGATAAAGTTGCATAGCATTCGTATTATTTGTCCAGCCTATCCAAGTCGCTGTATTTTAGTGAACGTTATATCTGATTTATTACAGAGTTGTTATAATTTAAGGTTATATCTTTTGCGCCCCTGCTCTTGGTCGCTTATAGTTTCAAATATTTTGCGGAGTATTTTACGCTCGAATATTTTCAAAAGTGTTTCATCTTTCTGAGTTAGGGTCCATGTTTCAGCCTCGTATGTGAGGGAGGGTCTTAGCAGTGTGTTATATATTTTTTATATATAAATATATTTTCTATTTATTTATCCTTCGGATGTTTGTCATGTCAAATTAGAGGAATTTGTTTTGGAGTCCCTGTTAGGCTATATTTGTAAGGTTTATTCGTCTTTTAATTTCTTTGCGTGTATTGGCAAAAGTGTTTGTAGCATCAGCGAGCTAAGATATGTGAAGCTGTCAACACGTTCGAAGATGATCGACCGTTCTTTATTGATGCCCGACCTTTAAGAGCCGACTTGTTTCGTCGCCGTTTCCAAAGCTACGAAATATCCTCTAATATCTCGCTTGCTACGCTCTATTATTTTAAAGTGATCATCGCAGGCTAGAATTTATCGTAAATCGATTTATATATTGCCTTCGTCTCTAATTCGCGTTTTTCGGCCTGTCATTTCTAAGGCAATCTCTCCTTTGATGGTCGCCAACCTTCGATAGAAGACGGCACATAAAGAAGAAAAATTCGGCATCATATTTTATAATTATGTCCACTGTCTAAATTTGTAGCCTTTCGTAGAGCACTTATCCTAGTACACATATCAAAAACGTCTAAGGAATAGCACTATACAAAACATTTTTATTTATAATCCTTTAATTTGAAAGGATCTGGTCAACAAGAGAGACTCAGCCATTGTATTCGTCCGCATAGGGGTCTACAAGTTATGATGTAGGCTGGACTATTTTATCATCGAACTGTTCCCGTTTTTGTAAAAGGCACTTTGAATGAATATCAATATAATGATTGTCTCTTAAAAAATATCAATATAATGATTGTCTCTCTTAAATGTCCTTGCATTTGCAACTGCTGCAGGTCCTGATTTGATTTATATGCAGAATAATGAGACCACATGCTGCAGCAATAGTAAGAGACTGGTTTCATAATGGGGATATTGCACTTTTAGCGTGACCAGCACAGTTGCCAGAACTTAATCTAATCAAGCATGTATAGGATATGCTTCAGAGAGAGATTGCCTCTCATCCTGCAAAATGTTCATACTAGAAGACAATGTCGTAAAGATCTTTTTATACAAGAATGAAAATTTGATCAGTTCCAGGTGATTTATTGTTCTTAAGCTTTTTAGTGGCTTGGGCAACCTTCTCAATGGTATGTTGTCTTAACTCAATGGTAGGTTGTCTTTATTTTGGGTTAAAGAGATTCCAATCATTTTGCTACCTGTGTTACTTAATTCTTCCATATGATGACCATTAAAGTTTGCATAGAAAAATTTAACTCATATGTTCAAGACTGAGGACATATCCTTTAGATTTCCATTTCTATCCTTACAGCTCCCTAATTTGGCTTAAATTCTGCTTATTTGTTTCAGATTTCTGTAAAACTTTCGAATTTCGTTTTGATATCATGGTCCTTCTATGCTCTCTAACTGATTTTCCTCAAAGTGCTTATTTTTTCTTCTATGTAATCTTTGTTCTTCTCTACTTATGATGTACCTGTTTGATTTGTCTTAAGGTATGTCCTATTTGTGTTATCTGTATGGATAGAAAGTTAATATCTAACATTTTTCTTAATACGTTATTTATCCGTTCCGGGTGTTGGCGATCAACATGGCTATCATAACTTTGCTTGTAGCTCTTCGGAATAGTTGGAATTTTTGGATAAGAAAGCTGCAGATTAACACTAATGGACAAAGTGAGAAAAGAACTCACTTCGTTGACTAATACGCCTTCCTGTAGTTTCCCCAGAACGAGTTCGAAAATATTTTCAGAGTACATATTAAATCACACCAAGGAGAGAATGCATCCTCGTCTCACTCCTCTATCCTCTATCTTTGGAGATTGCTCTGACAACTAACCATCCACTTTAATATTTACAGTTTGGTTATATTCGTTATATAAATTATGATTCTCAAGTCTCTATCACTTAAGCTCGCTTGTTTCAAGATGGATATAATCATATCATGTTTTACTCTAGAGGTGTCTTTTTGTAGACGACAAAACAAATATATACGTCACAGTTGACATCACTGCACCTCTGCAGAAGCACAATGTACAGCGAATAGAATCTCTTGTGTTCCTAAGGCATCGTGGAATCCAAATTGTGTTCATTTCACTTATCCTTCCCATTTTATATATTTTTTGCTGTATATCACTTTTAAAAACGTTTTAACTAAGTGGCTCGTTGGGCTAATTATTCTGAAGTGTAACATATATTTTGCTAAATATAGCTGTTATCCATTTTTATTCTCTGTTCATCCGTAAGTTTTAGGAATTCTGCACAAAATTTGTCAGGTCCTACAGCTTTGCCTTCTTTAGCTTTTCTAACAACTGACGTGATTTCTTCGACGGTAATCAGAGGTTTTGTTCGGTATTCCGTGTCTTCAGTGGCATTTTGCCATTTATCTGCAAAAGTTACTTTGACCTTTTCTTCCATGCATCTACTCTCTCTTCTACGCTTTTATAATATAAAAAATGGAAAAACTTCATACCTTGGCCATGTTATGAGAAACAGTATACCAAAATTTTTAGCGATAGAAAAGATAATTAGTGAAGGGAAAATAGAAGACTTTAAAGATATGAAAACTCACCTTCACTCGCATTCTACTCCTTCTTAGTTCCGAGGGTAAAAAATTGTAAAATGTAAGAAATTTCTAATTTAAAGAAAAATTTATTCTTTTTTATTCATTTTTATTCACTTGAAAATATTTTCTGACATGATTAATTTAATAAAACTATAAGAGCATACTACAAATATACAATGTTATCGACGGTGAACCTCAAATAACTTTGACTAATCATAATTTAAATAATTCCTTTTTGAGTGAGTGCGAAATTACTAGCAAAAAACCTTTTTTCTTTTTTCTCTAGGAAATTTTTTATTTTTCTTAAATAATACGAAAATATTCTAAGCAAAACGCAATCACACTGAACATCATTCCAAATAAATACACAAGAAAGGTGCTCCTCAAATGATCCACATTTAAGGCGTTGTATTGGAGAAGATCTTTGGCATTTGCCAACGCTTCAGCTTTCCTATATTTACTAGAAGATTTAAGAATAATGTGGTTTATAATTCCTGATGCCTTTAGTCGTCTTAATTTACTGTTAAATGCTGGAAAAAGAGGATGCCCTTCCCTAAAACAAAGACATAAGAAAGCAGACATTTGATCGAGTTCAAAAGTATTGACTAACGATTTGCCATCCTCATCCAGGTAAAAATCAGGAACATAATATTCTATATGACTCAACAAAAGATACGATACTTTGTTTTTGTCTTTAGCTACTTTTTCCAAACAGTTCTTCGCTTTATCTACAAAGGACCTATTATTTTTGGTCAGTTCTCTATAAGGAGGATAAACTGATGCATTGAAAATGTAAAAAACTGCAGCAGACGGTAAACACATTCTAAAATTGGGATATTTCCAAATATCTTGACTGTGCTCGAAAATTTCAGAAGGAATATCTCTAATCATAATGTCGAACATTCTACTCTTGTATACTGTTGTTAATATTAAGCAAAATATCAAATAATTGACCAGCAATGCTCTTAAGCCCACGCTTTTTATGTGTAAATTAGTACAACCCTCAAATAGGATGCTGATCATAGCAATATACATAGCAACATTTTCGTTAATTTCTACTCTTTTACTAAAGTACATAAACAACAAATACAACACGAATGCTACAGCAAAACAGCACAACCATACTACCAACGAAAATTCTTCATAGAATATATTCCATCTATTTTTGGGCTTCGAAATCCGAGGTACAAGGAAAAGTGCCACATCTGTATTAACCGTACTAGTTTTATCCAAAAGAACGTCAGTTTGAATCATATGTTCAGAGATTGGAGAAATAAAAAAATCACATTTATCCGTTTTAAATTGGCTAGGCACGAAAAAAGCGTCATAACCTTCTGTTTTGACATAATCCATAGTAACGTTCATGTTTAACATAATTGTATTTACTATTTCTATGTATACACCTTTTTTCTGGTTAACGACTCCAGGCGGTAAGAAACTATACATTGTTTTCAGTGTGCTGATCTCTGTAGTTCCAGTTGTCAAATCGTTTATTCTTAGTGCTGAGCAGGTAAGAGTTAAAGGCATCATTTGATAGTTACCTTTTTTACTAGTTTGGTACACAAACATTTGCATTGTACTCTTAATAATAACAAGTACTTTATATATGTTGTAGTCGTCTAGTATTTTGTAAATCATTGGACTTATTTTGGCAACTAAAATTATAAATTTCGCTCTACTGTTAAGCAGTGTTTGATTGTAAAGATTTTCTAAAGCCTCAGAAACATTACCTGCCATAATAAATGTTGATGGTTTATTATAAAGAATCCTTGTAAAATTATGCTTGGTATTATAGTATATGACTGGTACTTGAAATGTGAAATTTAGGTTGACTGCATAAATAACTTCGTCTGAAATATCAGAAGAAAGTAGTATGCTATTAATGCACTTCTGGGCATTATCTCCAAGGAAATCACCTGGAGAAATAAGTATAATAATTATATAGAATATACAACGACGTCTCATATCGACGAGAAAAAGTAAACTGATATTTAAAAAATAATATTTAAAATTCTTGTCACTCCTAACTCGATCCATTTAATTATATATACTGTCAGAGAACTTTGAGTAATATTGTTCTGTAGAAGCTAATCCATTTGTCTTGTATATTGTTCTATTGTTATAAAAACTCGACCCAATAATTTCCATCCATCCATCTATGCTTAAGAAGAAAAGTAACAACTAATAATGCACTACACACAGTTTATTTGTTCCTATTAGACATATAAAATACATTGCATACATGCAAAAAATATATACTTACCAGTTAAAAAAACCTATAGAAAACATTTCTAGAAATAGTTTTCTTCGCTCCCATTAGTATAAGCAGTAATTCCGAAAAAAAAATTCAATAGCAGAAAGTAAAGAAAAAAAATTTTTTACCAAGAAACTGGCAAGAATCACCGACACGGTGATTCTTGCCAGTACCATAGACGAATTACAACAAGTAATGGAAAGACTTTATTCAGTTACTGAGGAATACGGCCTCAGCCTCAACTTCAAGAAGACAAAGTGGATGCAGCAAGCAACAACCTGCTCGATAATTACGGATAAGTAACATACTAATTGACCATGTAGAATGTTATGTGTACCTTGGCACCAACGTAAATGCAAAATGGGAAAAGACCATAGAAATTAAGGCAAGAATAGAACGAGCTAGAGCAGCATTTAGCAATATGAAAAAGCTCCTCATAAGCAAGGATTTGTCTCTTCCCCTAAAACTACGTATAGTTAAATGCTACATTTTTCCGATCTTGCTGTATGGCGTGGAGGCCTGGACGCTGACGGAGACGCTATTCGAAATGTGGGTGTATCGACGCATTCTTCGTATATCCTGGACCGAACATGTCACCAACATAGAGGTACTCCAAAGAATCGGAAAGGAGAAAGAAATCGTGAATACAATTAAACAAAGAAAGCTTGAATATCTAGGCCACATACTGAGACACGATAAGTACCGTCTGCTACAATTGATTGTCCAGGGAAAAATACACAGTAAGCGAGAGCCAGGCAGGAGAAGACGCTCGTGGCTCCAAAATCTGTGGAAGTGGTTCGGGCTCACATCGGTCGAACTATTCAGAAGCGCCGCAAACAAGATCAAAATTGCCATGTTAATAGCCAACGTTCGCAACGGACAGGGCACTTGAAGAAGAAGAAAAAAAATCACTATTAAGGTTGAATATCTATTTCTGCTGAAACACTTGCTTCTTATATGTTTTACATATAAGAAGCAACTTCATTCTACTCTTAGATTAAATAAAGGGTGGGCTCCTCAAAAAAATACCTCCTTAAGAGGAATTTAATGGATATTTAAGAGACTCCTTGATACTTCCCTAAGTTTTTTCGAGTTTTATTTCAAAGGGAATCTTCTAGCGATGTAAATCTCTATAGACCACAAATCTTTAAATTTTAAATAGGAAATTAACCATGTATGGCACATCATTAAAAGTATTTCGATGGAGAATTCAAGCATCCATGATTGTTTTCCATATTAACTCTATTCTTGTAGAAAGTATCGGTTTATTGAAAAAATGTTAAACCTTTTAAAAACTGAACGTAACTCACTTTTGCTAGTGTAAATTTCAAAATTTTACCGTCATGTCAAAAACTACATTAAAAGGAAATTTGCATTGCTACATTATTATTATACAATTATTTAAATATTTAAAATGATATTTCCCAACGTCCATCCATTATTATAAAGCCGCTGTTCGATTTGAAGTATTTAAGGGGTTAATAGACTACATTCATCTACAATTAGTCGTAAAGTGGGTTATTTTGACGCATGTTACCAGACCAAACATTGGTATCATCTCAAGAAAAGAAAGCTCCTGCTTGAAAAATGATGAAAGAAAGAATCACCTTTATGCCTTGTGCAAAGGCTTCAGGGACTTACACAAACTTCGGTTGCTTGTTGTGAGGACGGCTTACAAGCCTTTTGCCATGTTTTTATCAACCAACATGACAGCTATGATTCAACCAATCGATCAGAATGTCATCCAGAACACAAAACTGCGCTATCGAAAAGCTTTACTCCCCAACATTCTTGCTGACAGCAAAGTGGAACGGATCTGGTAGTAGCTTTGAAGAAAGGTAATCTCAAGGATGTCGTTTTTAATTTGGCAGATGGTTTGTCATCCATTTCACAACGTTTGATTCAACTTTCTTGGAAAAACTTGAGCCTAAACTTAGTGTCTGTTGACGACTCCAACTGAACTAACTAACAACTAACTAACTAACTACTAACTACTAACTACTAACTACTAACTACTAACTACTAACTACTAACTACTAACTACTAACTACTAACTACTAACTACTAACTACTAACTACTAACTACTAACTACTAACTACTAACTACTAACTACTTACTACTAACTACTAACTACTAACTACTAACTACTTACTACTAACTAATAACTACTAACTACTAACTAACAACTGCTTTTGATAAATTTTGTGATAACAATACATAATAAACAAGGGCTTTAAAGCTTTTAATATGTAGGGTTTTGAGACATGCACTCTCGATTTTACTAATTCAAAAACTGAATTCATAATTTCAAATTCATAAAAGTCGCAATATCTCCGGTTCCAATTAACGAATATTTATGTATTTTTTAATTTGTAAGTTATTTATTTAACCGAGTAATTTGTTTGAATAATTTAAAATAAATATTTATTTTACAAAATTCACTTAACTCTTAATAACTATTATGAGTACAAAAGATTATGAAATGGTAGGTAACTTAAACATGTATGTATTATAGTTATGAATAATATCTTTAATTGTCGAAAATAAAAATTAGAGATAATTCTAAACGAGTATACATGGAATGACATATATATGGACAAAAATATACAAGAAGAGATTGAATAAAGAAAACTTGATTTGACAATTTTAAGAGAATATCAAAAGATGGATGGCCCCGGAAAATAATGAAATGGATACCTGATAACGAAAAAAAAAAAAAAGATGTCGACCACGCCGCAGTTGGAGAGATGACGTTAATGATACTGTGACAGCAAGAAATTTAGTAGAGGATGGTGTCTGAAATAGAAAAGAATGGAAACGGGACTGAAAGACGGCGGAAGCTGTATGCAATCCGTTGGGATTTTTTTACAGCTGCTGGTAAAGGACTAATAGCCGAAACGTTGATTAAATGGAATAATAAAATCTACTTACAAATTTAATATTATTTATTAAACCTAAACCCAATAAATTTAATACAAAATACGTATTTTCAAACATTGTTGTCTTTTTGAGCCACTGTTATGTTATGTTTGGCTAAAAGATTAGCTATGTAGATGTTTGGATAAACCGTTTATATGGAAGAGTTGTATACATCGTCTTGGTACTGTTGATTCTATTGTCATTTTATGTTATATATTTCAATTCTCCTTTGTTGTCCAATCTACACCGTCGTCCTATTTTTACCTTGTTATCTGGATCAAATAAACAAATATTTGAATACATTTTATATAATACTATGTAGTTCTTCTTCATTGAATGTAATTTACAATTTACGACCCTGATCTCGAGCTAAAATTATACGGTACTTTTAACGCGCAGTAAATGTGTATGTTTAAACAAGGTAACAACACCGAGTCATACAAAGTGTTGACGAGCACACGTGACTTTTTTAATACCACCAATTTATTACTTCATTCTTTGGCTGGCGAGAATGTTATATACCTGAGGCCGAGTTAGGAGATATCTTTTATCAGATTCAAGTAGTGGCTCGAATAATCTGACTCGAGGGATAAGAAAAAATGATCTGACTTAAGATTTAAGAGGTAAGGCGCAGTAAGTCTAAAAAAAACGTTTTTTTGCGTTTTTCATTTTTGGAATGAAAAGTAAGAGCATAATAATATTCAAGGAGGTCATTAATAATATGTTTCGTATGTTTTCATCATATAATTTATAATAGTCGAAAGATAAATAATAAAAAATTTTATTTCAAATCCTTTATAAAAAGTATATAATAAAATGATCAAACGGGCTATCACAATTACATTACAGAACGTTTTCCGAATGTTAATTCCATCATCAGTGTAAACGGGGTATACATGCTATCAGCCACCAAAATATATGGGTCAAAACCCGTTAAATGTTACAAATTTATAGTTATTTTACATTATATATAATTACAAATTAGGATGTTTTAAGTTATCGTTGGAATTGGTAACATGGCGACGTATGACCCTATATAGGTTATATGGTCCTGAGACGAAGTGTCTTCGAGGACCTGTTGATAACAACTACCAGTTGTAATTAGTGCTGTTTTTGCTTTTTTAATGGTCTGAGGTCTATTGATATGATCGGATAATCTGATAGCTCTATCGGCGAGTCCGATAACTATAGATTTATTTTGAGATAAGGGATGATGACTAGTTGAAATTCAGATATCTCAACTGCCAGGTTTTTTTGGTGTACCATTAAGTAGTTATAGTGCTGTTTTCTGTATGTAAAGTGATGTCCAGAAAATTAATTTGACAATTGTTTCAACTTCTAATGTAAAATTTAGTTTTTGGCGAAAGATATTGAATTCATTTAGTATAATATCCGTTTTATCCTCTAGTGCTGCACTCAAGCAGTCATTTATATAGCGATAGAAAAAAGGTATATAAAAATCTATTTTATTTAAAACAATTTCCTCTAGATGCTCTAAAACTAATTGAGCGATGGCACTGGATATATATATATATATATATATTATATATATATATATATATATATATATTTTGTTTTTTATTTATATTGTGTCATTTCTAATATTTTAATTTTGAACGTCAACAACTACATTATATGTCCCAAAAAGCTGCAATCCACATCGTACCACAAACCATTGTTTTGTTAAAATAAATCATATTGCCGCAACCTCAATCAAGTAAGACTTAAACAACAAACAACTA